AGCATGCTTGCCCATAGCGGGTCTCTGCTGCTGGCTTAGGGTGGGGTCTACCATGACTCTCAGTTTCCTCTCTGAGGAGCTGTGCCCTGTCCCGTTGCTCCCTGACCTGGGCTGGTGGAAGAGACTACCATGTCCTAAATTTCCTGTTGGCCCCTCTCTCACCCTGCTGAGGTCTCTCTCTTAACAGCAGCTCTACTCTCCCACATGTTGATGACTCATTCCAGTTTGGTGTCACTTGCAGGCTTGATCAGGGTGTCGTCTTCTTGATTGTACACAGAATTCTCCATGCAGCAACATTCTATGATTCTATGATAAGAAGGAATCAGTATTTCAAGACTGCAGCAAACTGCATTAGTCTTAGTTAGACGTAATGCAGTTGTTCCCTTTGTTACTGAGGTCCATAGAATTCCAAACTATTACGCCCCAAAGCCAGATTTTCTTTGCAAAAGTGGTAACTACCAGTATAATCCTGATAGAGGGTGAAAACATCAAGTACAGGGATTACTCTTGCACGTGCAGATGTGATGTTCTTGAATTCTTACTAGCAACATCGAGATACCTAAAACTTGATGTGTTTTGTCTTATTCAGCTTTTTACAAGCTCCGTGCAGATGAATCCCACAGATCATATCCCTAATACCAAAGTAAGTCTTAAATCCGTTGCTCAATGTACACGGTAGTGAGAGATGCAAACTTCATTAATCCTTTACTGTTTTCTTTACTGGTATAATAGCGCTTTTTTCATGCTCTGGCTTTGAAAACTTCCCTGAGGATAGGAAGGCTGCAGCTGAATTCATCCGGTTAGTTAGGTTTTCAACAGAAAAAGGTTAAGCAGTCTAATTAATAATGCCCTTTGAAACTTGTGTTACTATGAGGCCAATACCTGTACATTGTACCAATCTCTTGCCTTTTGTATCCTCTAAGGTTTTAGTACTCACACACGTGGTATATACACTGTCAGATAGTTTCCTCTGTGTGGTCTGGTGGGAAAAGAAACACAAAAGCAAGCAGCAGAGCAAAGATCTGGCTCTTTGAATTTGTTCTGTTCATTTAAGAGTGTTAGTTTTGGTTCTTGCTTGAGTAAGCCTGTGTCTCTATTTCACATTTTCTCAGTCAAGGTCTGTTAGTTTGGGTAACTGATACCACTGCATCCCTTCACAAATAAAAAAATCTATTATTTTTTTTTAATAGTTGGTCAGCTGTGTTCTAGTGGCACTGGAAAAGGCTTTAAGCATGTGTTTTAAGATACTGCTTTCATTTCCAGATGGAGACAAAGGGAATAGAAGCTACCAAGAATAATACTGGTCCAGCAGCTTCACAGGAAACACAAGTTTCTAAGCCCAAATCAGGTTAGTTGTAGTGGTCTGTTAAAATGGTTTAACAGTTGAACAAGCATTGTTTGTCTGGTTTTGTGTCATCCTGACGAGCAATAGCCAAAACAAAATACTTGCTATATTTGCTTTTTAGGCTTTAGGCATTGCACCAGGTGCAGAGAAACTGATGTTTTTGCAGGAGAATCTGAACAAATCATATTAGGCATGAATGCAACAATTCTTTAATCACATATTTAAAACAAACACTTATAAGGTTTTCTATTAAATCTTTAAATAAATTCTGTGGATTGGATTTTTTTTTTATTTCTGCACATAGAAAGGCACACAAACTGATGATGTTTTGGGGATTTCTTTTCCCTTAGATAAGCAGCTCATACAGTACACTGCGTTTCCACTCCTTGCTTTCTTCGATGGGAACCCCAGCTCTGACATGGAGAGCGGCAGCTCCCTGGCTGGAACTCCTTCCTCTGCTGACAAACCCCTGGAAGTGGATGAGCTCCTGGAGAGCAGCCTGGACCCTGAGCCCACTCAGAGCAAACTGGTGCGGCTGGAGCCGCTGACAGAGGCTGAAGCGAGCGAAGCCACGCTGTTCTATCTATGCGAACTTGCCCCAGCACCCATGGACACAGACATGCCCTTCTTGGATAACTAGCATGATGGGGACTCTGTACATAGTTATGAAGATGAACTATTTATTTAGAATATTGTTTGGTATATGAGTTTTTTGTAAATCACTGTTTTATGTAACCGGATAATGTGGAATCGAAAAGACCTTTCCTATGTTACTTCCTACAAGCAGTTGTTTAACTGTGTGGTTAGACAAGCTGCTGGGCACGGTTGGCAATACCAGGTCAGACTGTTACTGTACTGCTGGCACACACTTGGTATTACACATATCGCTAAATATCCCAGGTAACCAAATCCTTGTTAGCAGTAACAAGGGTTTGATTTCTGATTTCTTATACTTCTGGTCTTACATATGATGACATAAACTACTAGTGTATGATTAGGGAGCACTGACTTTCTGTATCTTGGGTTTTTTTCTATTTTTTACAAGATTTTGTTTAACAAACATGAGGCTTTTTTGGGGTGGGGGGGGACCAGGACCTGATGTAGGCTTTTTTTTTCCCTGCTTGAACTGGGAACAAAGTGCCTGTACCTTGCTAAATCTTGGTTCTGCCTTACTTTCACTTCAGTGGAAGTGCTCACACACAGCACAAACCGGGGAAAAGTTCTTTATAGCCACCAGGCCCCTCGACTGCATGAGTACTTTCAGCTTGGACCATCTGTCTGATAAAATAAACGTTACTTAAGTGTGATACTTGTTAACAGTTGTCTCTTACTCTGGATTTAGCAGCCAGTCTTTTTCAAACCTTTGGAGCTGCGCAGCGACGTCTACTTTTACAAAGATTTATCGGAAAATAGTTTGGTTATCTCCAAACTTCCAAGGTTTATTTAAACCTTCAAAACTAGTGGCTAGCGCAGCAAACTGTTTTCCATTAGTGCTACACAAAGGAATGTTTTCTCCCTCAGAGCCCTGACCTGGACTGTAGTTGTCTTATGCAGCTGAATGCCAGAGGGGTTACTGCAACAGTAGGTGAAAGTGCAGTTCACCACACCTTTAAGTAAATCATCTCGCCCTGAGCTCCTGAGTAAATATAAACAATGTTGAAACTTTTTTCTTCAGTTATGATTTATCTCAAAGCTGTAGAGAGGCAGTTTTGAGAAGTTCCTGCGTGTAATGTTCCAGTGAAGAGAAAAGCAGGATTCTAGTAACTTCAAACATGCAAAACCACCTTCTGCAAGTCTGGCACTGCATTCAAAATACTTATTTTAAGGAGTAGTCTAGCCAGTTGTAAAAGGAACAGAATCCATAGACACAGCACTGGTCACCTTCCTAACGGCACTGTAACTGCTGCTCTACCCAAACGGAACTTGCCTGTGCGTAGCAGCTGATGAAGCAGGACCACAGTGAAGCACGTCTGTGTTCAGAGCGATGGGTGCAAAGGGCACAGAGAGAAGAACTGTGAGAAAACCTTGCACGGGGGGGTTACATGTGATCCCTCACAGCACCAGGAACTGCCTGGCCGAGGTACTCTGCAGCACAATCAGCTGGTCCTTTACAGATGATGAGTGCTGTAAAACATCCCAGGAGCAGAATACAATTCCCAGATGTGAATACAACACACAAGCCTACACTACCCACATTTGGCAGTAATAAGTGACATCAAAAGTCATTGGACATATTCATCCAAATTTATTTATTAATAAGGTGACAACATAGTCCTGAATTATTACAAGCCTTTCCTCATCCTCCCACTGCCATCTTGAGGTTGACGTGTCAGACTTCTGCAGTAAATGTCAGCATTTAGGTGCAGGATTAAAATTAAAGCTTAGAGAATAATTAGCAACACGAAGTAACAGTATAAACACCACAGTAACAGATCAGCATGAGGTCTGCTGAAGGCTCTATGGTCACTCCCAGTCAGGCTCTCTAGTCACAAGTTGTAGCAAATAACAGAAATAACGCAGTTTACATACTTCAGTTACAAAGCAGCAAGCACAAAAGCATTTAAGATTTGATAACTGCACAAGAACTATACAGTATTTTAATCCAACAGATTAATGTCTTACCTCATGCCTAGATTTAGACTTTCTAGACTCAAGCCCATCTCTGGCAATGGAGAACACCCAAAATACCCAATACATTAAAAGATTTCAAAATTTAGAGCCCCAAATATATTAAGAAACACTTTTGTTGAAGCCTCAGTTAAACACAAGCCTCCTTTAGCTACTGTAACCTCAGTGCTCCTTTTCCTTCACTTTTTAACCACAATAATACTTAAAAAAATCCTCTAAAGGGCTTACACAGTTGTCACCACTCAGCTTCTTGCAAACTCCGTGACTGTAGCTTAGCCAAGAAAGTGGCACACAAAACAGCAATAAATTATAGCACAGCTATCCCTTTGAAACTACTTTTTAAAAACAAGAATACATAGATGCACATTGTAAACAGGTGCCTTAAAAACATGCTTCTGAGCGTCCGATACCAGGACGTTTTTCCCTACGGTGTCAGCCCTCCTCCTGCCTGCAACGGGATGCGCCAGACCCAGTGACTCCAAGGAGGACATCGGCTCCTCTGCAGCTTCACATGTGAGTTTCCCCACATAACACCGGTGCCAAAGGCACTGCTGCCCTCAGCACCAGGCCAAGCTGGGCTGTTGGTGCCAGAATGCCACACGAGGTCCGGTAAACTGCAGTGCACACCATTGTGAGTTTTAACCAACACTTCCTCAAGACTTACTTTGGAATCAAGGCAACAGGGGTCAAAGGCAGCCCCTCCTTTGCTCGCAAAGCCTCATCTGTTTTGTTACCCTTATTAACACTTGCATTTTTGTTCCCTACAACTATTTAATGCAATTGAGGGGGGGAAAAAAACCCCAACTTCCAAAAAGTCATGATCTTACATTCCTACGCTCCCGAAGCACTCCATCTAGGAAGAATCCTACGAAAACTATCATTCTAGCAATTGTCACTGAGCTCGGCTAGCAAAAAGTCATTTAGTGAAATGACTAAAGACATGATTCAAGGTCATCATGCAGAATAAAGCAGGGTACACTACATGGGTAGAACACGGATTAACTCAAACACACACACACACACACACACACACTATTTACAACCATACTACTACATGAGACGCTGCGTGTTTCAAAGCCACGGTGAAGCCAGCACAATCTCCCTGGAGAGCAGCACAGCTTAGTCAAAGTCACGGTTTGTAAGAACCAGCGGAGCCACCAGAGTCCACACGTACAGCACGATGCCAATCCAGCTAGAAGATATCTTCACCCAGACAGACGGCCACTTGCTGGTCATTGTCTCGTAAGAAGAATCCGGACTGCGAAAGAAGGAACAGAAAAAAAGGTTAATTACCACTTTTTGTTTAAACGTGACATACTTGTGTAGAAAGCCACTCTTTGACGCTTTTTCCCACAGTCGACCATTTTCACTCCACACCTCAAAGGGCATCTCTTCCCTTATTCCAGTCAGCTCACGCCAATCTGTACAAGAACACCATTTGTAAGCTGGTGCCACAGGAAGGTGGAAAGCAACAGCAGCCCAAAAATATAATAGTAAGAGAAGCTGTCAAGCAGGAGAAATAGCCACGAGGAAGCTGTGGATCTCTAAGCTAGTCTGTGGAAAGGCAGGAAATGGATAGCATTTATAGATACAAGTAATGCATTCTACTTTGCCAAAAGACAACATCTAGAAGTATTAATAATCCTGATGTCATACTGAGCCAAACAGGGCCACAAATCAAATCCACAGCAGAACTATCTATTAAGTTATATCTGAAGGAAATGCCTTTCTAGTGTTGCTATTTTGATACAAATTATTGAAGATTGTAATTTATATTTTTTAAATTCTGAAGAACATGTGCTCGAGCTGTTAACAACAATTCACGCAGGAAGACTATTTTATTGTGAGGATTTTTTTCAGGGAACAGACAACCTAATTTCCTTCCAATAGACACCATGACAGAATGGCTGAGGTTAGAAGGGACCCGAAGGTCATCTGGTCCAAGCCTCTGCTCAAGCAGGGCCACCTAGAGCCAGCAAACCAGGACTACGCCCCAACAGCTTTAGAGTATCTCCAAGGATAGCGACTCCACAACCTCCCTGGGCAACCTGTGTCAGTGCTCAGCCACCCTTTCAACAGAAATGTGTTTCCTGATGTTCAGAGAGAACCCTCTTTGCTCCAGTTTGTGCCAGCTGCCTCTGGTCCTGTCATGGGGCACCACTGAAAACAGCCTGCCTCTGCCCTTCTTTACATCTTTCCTTCAGGTATTTATGTACATTGGTAAGATCTCCCTGAGCCTTCTCTCTTCCGTAGGCTGAGCAGTCCCAGCTCTCAGCCTCTCCTCAGAGGACAGGTGCTCCTGTCCCTTCATCACCTTTGTGGTCCTTTGCTGGACTCTCTCAAGTACATCCATGTTTCTCGTACTGGGGAGCCCCAAGACTGGACCCCAGCACTCCCAAGTGCTGTGTCACCAGTGCAGAGTAGATGGGAAAGGAAGACCCCTCCCCTCGACCTGATGATACATCATGTCCTATACCTCCTTCTTCCAGCTCTCTGTACTGGGCGTGGGCCTGGTGTTTACTTATTTTTTGTTGTCACAGAATTTAAGGCTCTTATCCTGTTTACTTC